CACCATCAATCACGGAGGCGACGCGCAGCGGCGCTGATGAAAATTCGATATTTCGCGTTCCCGCGAACTGGTGCACAGAACCGGTAAGGTCTCACGACCTAGTCTACTTCCGCCGCAATTCTGATGCTCTCGCGTCCCTTCTTTCTCAAAGAAAAAGGCAACCGGCACGCAAATGCCGCCTTCGCCTTCAAGTGGATATTCCCGGCGGCCAAAACGATCCGAGTTCTTTTTTAGAACGCGAAGGCGCCACTCCGCGGTACAGCATCAAATTCTTCGGGTCCCCGCGAACAAGGTTCCAGGTACGTTTCAATGTCGGATGTTACACCGTTATTTTTATATAAAAGGCATAGAGGTAGACCTTACCCCGGACTACCCCGGACCACTTGCTGGCGACTGATCGCCAAGTCCCTCGATCTAAAATTACATATTTCGCGTTCCCGCGAACTGCGGTGAGCTTGAACTTTCAACGGTCTTTTGGTGTATCTGAAAGATGAATTTCCCCAAACATTAAGGTGCTGCCGGGTGCGCACCATCTTTGAACCTCGTTGGGATTCCGTTGCGAACCTCTACAATTGATTTTTCGCCTCCCCGCGAAATGTGCCGCAGGTCCAATTTCCAGCGTTTTCGACCCACGCCGCCAATGTCCCGCCAAAATATGTTACCTAGCTCAATTCACTGTACCTCTAATCATTCAGGTAGCTCATACTAGTTAATTAAACTTTCTCTTGTCGAACCATAGACACGTAGACTATAAAACATGCCCCATCTTTGCGATCACGTGATCCGTCGCGTCGCGTCGCACTCTAGTTTGTTTACGCCTGGGCACGCGAACGACAAGTGCTCGATGACTGCACACGTCACCGCCTTTTTGACCTGTCCTCTTTCCTCCAACTCCAAGCCACTTATTTGTACTTTCCCTCTCCCTCATCTTGCACTCGGCCCCTCTTGCCTCAAGGTCCTTTACTTCTACCTTGCTTCTACCGCTGTCGCAACCTAAAAGCCGGCCTTGTCCAAGCTCTTTTCAACAGGTATTCTCCTCCACTATCCACAGCATACATTTAGTTTGCTTCGGGTTACACTCTGCTCGCCTTTGGTCTTCCTCGACTCACCACCGACCGCCGGCTTACGGTCCATCGCCGCCCTCCTCTCAGCCCATCACCCCAAGCCTCCTGGCTTCTCTTGGCTCTCGCTTGTTATCCCCGTGTCCTAAAGCTGACCTTCGGGACGGGGGAACCCATACCAAAATTTTGAAAATGCTCTTGTACTTGTTTTAAAAATGTTTATTCCATGTCCATGCGCACCGCTACACCTCCGAGACCCTTGGTTTCCGACGCTGAACCCGGGTGACGACTAACTACTTCTTTCCTATTTTCAGAGTGGGGTACATCCTGCATGCAGATTATCGCTTTAGGCGACGCGTCGACGAAAGGTATGAACGAACGTCTGCTTCCGTGGTTCAGATGGAAATACAGTCCTCGATTTCTATCATTCGCAGCCTGGGCTGGTTGAAGCTATTATCGGACTGTGATTGCGGGTTCATCCGCACAGGAGCGCACTTCGGTCATTCAGTTCGTGTAATCATTCGTACTCCGCATAAATAGTACTGTTCTCGTGCCTTGATGGTATCGGAACTCCTTTTCCGTGGACGGGCCCACCAGACAGAAATACTCCATCGGCGAACCAAAGGAGCGAGGAATTTCTCAATAAATCGTCATCTGACCCGACCCTTGGGCTAGTCAGCGCCGTCGGGTGCCACTCGGGGTCGTTGACTGTTCTCATAAGCTGTAGGCGAACGTATAAATACAGTGGACGCCGCAGTATTTCTACATTACTCCCCAGACCAGATCTGTGGTCTTACAGCTATCCTTCACCCAGATGCGGTGGCTAGGCTGTCAGTTGACGACCTCAAGACCTCGCTCGAAGCCTCGCTCGAGATCATCAAGCACCGTGGTCCTGATTCGTGGGGAACCTATATTTCACCAGATGCGCGCATCGGTCAGCAACTCCATTGCACGAAGAGTTCTTAATTTATACTTCTCATTGTAGGTCTAGGACATGTGAGATTGTCGATAATTGATCTCGAAACTGGCCAGCAACCCATGTCCGATGAAAATGGGCTGATTCATTGCGTTGTAACTGGTGAGATCTATGACCACGAGCGCATTCGTGCCAACATGGAAAAGGAAGGGTTTTCATTCAAGTCCAAATCAGACTCTGAGCTGGTTTTACAACTGTATGTGGTTGGCGGGCAACTTATGTCGAGTCGCTCACCAGGACGTAAAGGTACAAACGGGACGGAATTAACCTCCTTTTCAGCTTGCGCGGCGAGTTCGCGTTCGTCCTGTACGACGTCAAACGACGGCTCTTGTTCGCGGCGCGAGATCGGTTTGGGATCAAACCGCTGCACTATACCATCTCAAATGGCCGCATTCTGTTCGCCAGAGAGATGAAGGCGTTCATGGGGCTGGGATGGAATGCCGAATGGGATATCGACAGCATTGTTCACAGCGGGGATCTCGGGGACGAACGCACCGTGTTCAAGGGCGTTTTTAAGGTATGACTTCGGTTCGACAGCCCGTTACGGTTCACTTGGCTCACTAAATCCAGCTGGCGGCGGGCCACCTTGCGCTCTGCGGTCCCTCTGGGGACATCAAAACCGAGAGGTACTGGGACCTCTCGTATCCACTGGCGACTGCCCTTCCCACGGAGACAATTGACTCGATGGTGTCCAATGTTCGAAGACTTCTGATCGAGTCGGTCCGACTGCGGCTTCGTTCAGATGTCCCACTGGCAGTCTACCTCAGTGGAGGCATTGACAGCTCCTGTGTGGCTGGGATCGCCACTCATATCCTGCGCGAACGAGACCCAAACGCGAAAGTGACCGCATTCACGTTGGCTTATACCGGTGAGGCTGAAATCTACTTTGACTTCATCGGCTTGTCTTTATGTAACATTTGCAGAGGACGAAACAACGGACGGATCTCCAATTGCAGGACGGACTGCCGCTCATATTGGGGCTGAAATACATAAGGTCAAAGCAACCGAAGCCGCATTGGTTGATGTCCTCGAAGAGGCTATTTGGCATTCTGAGCGGCCGAACACCACCTTCCATGGCGCAGGTAAGATACTCTTGTCCGACGCCGTTCGCCACCATGGCTACAAGGTTTCGTATTTTCATCCCTGCTATCCTTGACACTGATCCCCGACCTCAGGTTGCGCTATCTGGCGAGGGCTCCGACGAAATATTCGCCGGATATGGGTGGTTCCGCCTCGATTATCTTCGGAACCCAGATACTGCAGCTGCCAGCCTCGGAATAAATGTGCCCTCGGACACCGAGCGCCGTGATATGGTCACTGCACTCGAGGCATCGGCGTGTGTCCCGGAAATGTCGAGCGTGGTGATGGATGTTAAGGACTCCAGCCTGGTTAAAGTCAGCGCCCACCACGTCGTCGCCACACCCACTCCGTTCTACCGCCCGATGTTCCACCCCTCTGTCCTCGCCGCTGCAGGCGCTCCCAACATCGCGCGGTGCGTTGCTGAAGGGATCGATCCTCGTGTCCGGCAGCACTCCCTCTGCGGCACCTGGCACAGTTTGAATGTGTCTCTGGTATGTCTTGTGTTTTTCTTTCCCGAATGAGTTGCTGAAGCTCGTTCGTACTGCAGTACATCACCGTCAAATCCCTGCTCGGAAAAATCATTTTGAACCAAGCCGGCGATCGCAACGACATGACGAACTCTGTTGAAAGCCGAGTTGCGTTCCTGGATCATCACCTGGTCGAATACGTGAATACCTTGCCACCGTGCGCATCTCGGCATTCGTTGGCGGCTCAACCTACATACTGACAATCTCTCAGGTCCGTGAAAATGATGCCCATCGCGGGAGACGGGCCTAACAAGTGGAGTTTGACCGAAAAATGGATCCTCCGCGAGGCGGTCAAGCCATTCGTGACGGAGGAAATCTACACCCGCCGAAAAATCCCGTTCAAACCGCCTCCGAGTCCCCACCGAGCGGCGTCCGGCCTCGTGCCGCTTCAGATCCACCTCAGGAACCGCATCACGCAGGCGAACGTCGAGCGCCTCGGGCTGTTCGACTGGCACTATATCAAAGACCTCCTCGCGGGATATCTGGATTCGCCCGAGTTCCCGGCGCAGGGGGCTATTGATCAGGGGGCGCGGATGCTCATGGCGGTTCTCAGCTTTATTGTGCTGCAGGAGCGCTTTCGTGTGCCTCCTGCGACGGTTGAGAGCTAATGTAGAATCCAGTTCAACCAAAGCTCAACATCAATAATGTAAAATAAATTTCAACTCCCGGGTCCTCCATGCCCCACACCAGATGAATTCCCTCGCGTCGAATGCTGGTGTCTCGCGGGTATTACGTTCGGAAGTGAAGAGTAGGCACGTTATTACGAGTCAGCGCGCAATCTGCGCTAATTTCTCAGAACCAAGTGGCAAACTGGAACCGCACATCCAAATCCTTCTTTTCCATGCCTCCATCTATCCCTGTACTCCGCCATCCAGCCCCGTCCTGCTCGTTCCCATCCTCCCTCAATTAAATAGTTGTGTGTTAGCTTTGGATGATGAATGGAACCGCGTATAATAAAATTACCACATGTACTACCTTCATTTCCACATCTAGGAGCAGCCTGGTGGTGTAGGGGTAGCACACCTGTTAAAGATCGATATGAATGCTTGGATGTTTCAGCGGACTTCCTTAATCGATTCAAGGCAAGACCACCATTTACAATTGCCCTCTTTTTATTTATCCGGTAGAGTTACTCGTGAACTTTGCATTTATTCAATCCCAGGGACAATTTAAAAATAGCCTGGTGGTGTAATGGTTACACGCCCATCAACAATGGATGAGAAGAATTTGTTTTTGTGGGAATCCCTTGTTCGAGTCAAGGCCAGGCCATACCTAGTCGAGTTCTTTTTTCTTAGCCTCTCTTTATCCCTACAAATGAGTTCTCCATATATTTAACCCATGGGAGGATATAAGAGTGACCTGGTGGTGTAGTGGTGACACGCCTGCTAGAGATTGCGTTCAGATCTTGTACTTTTCAGCGGAGTTCCTTGTTCGATTCAAGGCTAGGTTATTATTTATAATTTCCATCTTTTTTATTTATTTATCCGGTAGAGTTACATATGAGCTCTGCATGTATTCAACCCATGGAAGGAGACAAGAAAGGTCTGGTGGTGTAGTGGTTACACGCCCATCAACAATGGATGTGAAGAAATTTGTCTTCGTGGGAATCCCTTCCTTTTGTGGTGAGGGACTCAGAATCTCATACTTATTTACCTTGTGGGAGACTGAAGAAATAACCTAGTAGTGTAGTGGTAACACACCCATTTTCTCTATCCCTCTGCTACACATTTATAGGTGGGAATCCTTTGTTCGACTCAGGGCTAGGCCATAGCAAGTCTTGGATTTTTTTGTGGCGAGTGTCGCAAAATCTGGTATTTATTGGGAGGGGGAATGAATGGCCTGGTGGTGTAATCGTAACACGCCTGCTAGAAAGGAGTCTAAGATAAATGCATTCAGCGGAGTTCCTTGTTTGATTCAGGCTAGGCCATTCGGCAAGTCCTTTTTATCTCGTAGAGTCATACATACATGAACTCTCCATGTATATAACTCCTGGGAGATTATAGGAGTGGCCTGGTGGTGTAGCGGTAACACACTTCGCTAGAAATGTTGCTCGGCATTCTAAACATTTTCAACAGGAGTTCCTTGCTCGAATCAAGGCTGGGCCTTTCGTAATATTTTTATTATGTCACTTTTATGCTTTAGCAGTATACTTCAACATGAGTATTGAGTTCTCATTCAGTCGAGTGAATTTACAGTGGAAGAGCGTCGGGGTGATTGATATAGGCCCCTCTGAATCCAACGCAACGCGACTGCTGATGCCGATAACTGACCAGTGTCTGCCAGCGAGAGATCCCGGATATGTCGCGTCGGCTCAGTCCTACGAAGAATGGCTCATAACTGAGTACTGCCCGCAGGGTGAAAACATGTATGTACAGCCCCAACGTCAAATCCGGATTCCGAGGATGGGGAAAATTTGGGATTTCTTTTTTGTAGGCCCTCATTTATTGTGTGAATTTACAGCTCGCTGCGGCAAATAATGAAATACAGCCAGCATGTGTTGAATTGGATGACTTTCCATAAGCATAAAATAATCCCCGAGCTTGTTTGAGAGTGCCAACGATGGGATCAACCCACAAAATATTCAACTAGTCTGTACACGGCCGACATTCCCATAAGACAGAATATATAAATCAGTGTGGTCCTCATTCGTGAACAAGGGCCGGAACGAACTCCGGCAGGCAATGGGAGTGCACCAGACTTTTCTCGAGACAAATGGGTAGCTTGATGGTTCGGGAGGAAGGCGAAGAGTGCCCATCACCACCCAAGAGAGTTTATTCCATCTAATAAAATCTGTAGGGGGGGTCCCTACCCCCTCTACAGACTTTCATAGATTTCGACTTAATCTTATACGTATTCTTGTCTCTGAGCTGATGGGGTCCTGACAGCTGCCTCGGCAATGGCGGCGGAAAGTGCGTAAATATTCTGGGGAATTTATCTATGCTTATGGAAAGTCATCCATTTGAACGTCCGTTGACGGCAAGGAATTGACAACGGCGATCGCCGAGCCGTGATGCGTGATGCGTGATGTGACGTGACACGTGCCATTGAACGAGGTACGAGTTGGATTCCGATGAAGCGTCTGTCAAGAGAGACTACCTCATTCCTCATTGATCTTAACCACCACCTTTGTGTGTCCTCCTCCCCTCATCCTCGCCATTCCCTCCGCAGCCCATCGCATGAAATTCTGTACCATCCCCATCGTAGCGGCTAGCGCGGGTCTCCGTGCGTCCCTCCCTCCCTTTGTCGACTCGGATGCTTACTAATCATTGTGCAGTGGCAAGCGCGAGCCCGATGCGCGTCGTCATCGTCTCGAGTGGCTTGCAGCCCATTCACATCCTCGTCCCCCCCTCGCAGCTCCAGAGCGGCGCCCCGAGCCAGGCCTTCCACATGCCTACCAAAGCGGTTGCCGCCCCGTGCGGCAGCCGCCTGCGCCAGAAGGCGAGCAGCTTCTCCGCCGCCTTCCGCCTCGCCCTCGGCTTCGGCTCCAGCGAGAACCCCACCGGCGCCTGGGTCGAAGAGGGAAAGACACCGAGCGGCGACCCTATCGTGCGCTTCATGCCGGAGAACGGCGGTCAGCGCCAGACTTTGTCCCGCTCCACCGGCGCCTGGGTCGAGGTGGGAAAGACATCCAGCGGCGACCCCATCGTGCACTTCACGCCGGAGAACGGCCGCCTGCGCCAGACTTTGTCCTCCTCCACCGGCGCCTGGGTCGAGGTGGGAAAGACATCCAGCGGCGACCCCATTGTGCGCTTCACGCCGGAGAACGGCCGCCTGCACCAGACTTTGTCCCCCTCCACCGGTGCCTGGGTCGAGGTGGGAAAGACACCGAGCGGCGACCTCATCGTGCGCTTCATGCCGGAGAACGGCGGTCTGCGCCAGACTTTGTCCCCCTCCACCGGCGCCTGGGTCGAGGTGGGAAAGACATCCAGCGGCGACCCCATCGTGCACTTCACGCCGGAGAACGGCCGCCTGCACCAGACTTTGTCCTCCTCCACCGGCGCCTGGGTCGAGGTGGGAAAGACATCCAGCGGCGACCCCATTGTGCGCTTCACGCCGGAGAACGGCCGCCTGCGCCAGACTTTGTCCCCCTCCACCGGTGCCTGGGTCGAGGAGGGAAAGACACTCGGCAGATGGTCATGGTTTTGGACAGTAAAATGGTGAGCTAATGCCCACTGTAGAGGAGAGCCTACAAATTCCGACCAGCATTGAACCGCAGAGGGCAGGGTCGGCGGCTTAGAGCAGCGTAGAAATTCAAAATAATTAAGGTTTTTGCTTAACAAAGACAATACACAGGCAGTGGGTTGGTAGCAAATAAGAGGAGGATGACCACAAGCAAGTTGTGAGCGAGGTCGACTGGGGTGCGTGAGGCACAGGGAGGAAGGGTCCGTCCAGGTCCGTCGACCCGACGGCGGCGAGGCGTCGGTTAAGGGTGGCCCAACTGTGCTGACGCGATGGCCAGGTGGTCTGTCTCGGCAGTCCCTGTCTCCGGGGCCACGGAACGCAGTGCGTGGGAGGCATAGTATGGTACGTACCTCGGATGCGGCGTTGAGGTATCTGAATCATTAATGGTCTCGATCGACGCTTTACTCCGAGCACACAGTTCTACAAAGAATATTGGAGTCGGTAACAGCGCACGAAGTTGAACACGGGGTTCCTGGCCTTGGTACTGCGATGTGTTCTACTCAAACCCAGCAGCACAGTAAGACATGCTGCACGAACCATTTAGATACAATCCAGAGAATATATGGAAGCAAGTATGAAAGGGCTTACTGTGGAAAGCTTAAGGGAACCCCTGCATCAAACAGATACCCCGAAGTGCTCATCTGAAGAGGTTCGTCAGTACGTGTCTGGGATTTGGAAAGTAACGTCAAAGCTTACCTCGAGATAGGTCCTGAATGAATTGGGGTGATCTGCGGGCAGCGTGAGCACCGAATTCAAGTTGACATATAAATCAGTGAGTGTGAATAAATAACATCGAAGGTTGAACCTCGATGAGAGTGCGATGCCGACTGAATAGATGTGAAAGAAGATGATGGTGATGAAACTTGCCTGAATCAAACGCCGTGAGCCCCGAGTCCATCGCGAAAACCTAGCGGTGATCTCGTCGTGCATGAACGAAGGCCTGAAGGTATAAATGTAAGAATGGTGAAACGACATGATATATGTAAATGCTCACCACTTCAAGGCTTCGGGTCAGGACCGGAAAGAGCTATGAAGGAAAGTCAATACTTGTTGAAGCCACAACGCGGTTGAATAGAACTGGCTGGGTGTGGGTTCAAGGAATGCAGAGATTATTTGACAATAGTCTCGGTGTACCCGCGGGACACTTGAGGGCTGAATGGTCGCTCATAGCTTCGGTTCAGACCTCGCAAGCAAGGTAGGATCTGTGAAACAGAGTCGGTGTTTTTCAGGCGGGTCATTTGAAAATAGTCTCGGTGCACCCGAAGGATGCTTACGAGTCGGCTCGATTAAAACTGCCTCAATGTCAGCGGTGCGAGTGCAAGTCCAGGCCATACTCACCGGCTGAAGCCAGAACTTACCGAGTGTTCGCGATGTAGACCACATTGAGATTAGATTAGAAAGCGGCTCGCGGCGAACCGAGCACCGAAAAAGAATAAAATGTATTGCACTATGGGATGGATTGAGGTCAGCGATGATTTTGAAAGGGTCATGCCGAGTCTCAAGTAAATACACAAGTTAAAGACGTTGTGGTCAGACAGGTCGTTGAGGTTTAGTACCGACTTATCGATGCAAGTAATAGAAATCAGACTTTGAAATGAGATTGAGCTGGGGCAGGCTTGAGGAGGTAATCGGCGGAGAGTTGACTAGAAAAGTCTTGAAGTAGGCGTTGAAGTCAAATGTTCGAGGATCATCCGAGAAGAAGTAAGTTAACGAGTCCATAACACGGATATTAAACGCAAATGAAGGAGGATGTAAGCGCTCATGAGTGCTCCGAGACTCGATATAGACGGGAAATGAATCAAGCTGGAAGTCACAGACCTTACTACAATGAAGCTGACGTGGCATGAGATAGCAACAATAAGTTGAGGGGTATGAACGATAGATAGCATCTGCAAAAAGATCAGAGGTTCCGGTGGAAAAGCCAATTGGACTCACCACGCCCATTCTGCACAAAAGTCAACGATGCTCAAATGGAGGGCCACGGAGCCACATGAGCCGCTGAAAGAGCAAGGGGCCTTAGGAATGCAAGATAAAAGTGTAAAAAACCGGCGCTTACCTTGGATGGGCCGTGCGCGAAGACGATGATGGTGGTTGATACACGAGAGCCGACGTGGGAACGGCGTCCAAAACCGGTTGATGGTGCTGGCGAAGGCTGAAGTCGACATCGAGAGAGAAATAGGAGGCAGAGTGGACGGCAGAATATTCCGGATCACAGGGGCGCATGATTCGGTTGATGCTTGTGTAGCCATCCAGGCCGAGGGTGCGAATAAGGCGTGAGGGATGAAAAGTGGGCGAAAGGGAGGAATGAAGGAATTGCTGCGAGTCGGGCGGGTTTATATATTCGAAGTGCACTGACGTGGCAGAGGACGCCTCATACGTGAAGGATCCCCGAGCGTGGCCGACGGCGCCCAGAAGTGTTAGTCCTAATGTCCGAATCCGGACACTTGTGATAATAGGGGGATCTAGCGTGAGCTCCGAGCATCGTGTGGATCTCAGGTTTGGCTGAGACTTATTAGGATGGTCTTAGCCGTACGTCCCGCCGCGATTAGGCGCATATACAGGCAAACTAAAAAAAGTCGATTATGAAGGAATATTTCTAAGGAGGTAATGGACGTAGCGAGGACATCTCTAAGATGTCCATTGATCAAATCTCTCTGGGGGAAAACTTCCGCCGTGATATAAATACACACGTCGGTCTCACGGCTGCCTTGGGAGCGGACTTCGCCGTGCGGGTCATTTCGCAGATAGGGAGATGAAGGAGCTACCCCATGCCCTGGATATTGGCCAGGAGCCGAGTTACATTGATGTGAAACCATTACGTAATAATTTAGGGAAACCCGTCCAATGACCGCCAGACTATAAGAAACAGCTTCACATTATGAATTGATTACTGAGGCCTCTTGTATGGGCTTTAGCCTGATAT